TTACAATCTACTACGTACAGCGGCGACGATTATTATGACAAATATTATTTTATTATCATTATTATATTACAGTGAACATTTTTGCGAATATACATATTAGCCTTAGTTACAACAATCAGAGATAATAAAGAATTTCTAACATTTTCGTAATTGTATTATTGAGAAGGTGTAGTTTCTCGTGTGTGTGTATGTGTGTGTGATGTATGTTATTATTTTTGCACAGAGTACTCAACTTTAATTAACATGTTGTTCGAATTCTTCACTTCAGTCTGTTCAATTGATAAAGTTGAATATCTAAATTGCATATAACACAATGTAAATTTTAAAATGTATAAAAATTGTAATGGTATTTGTGCGATTTGAGCACAGTCTGTAATACGCGAAAAGGATGATTTTGTCATATGGTAAAAGTCTCGATTTTCATTCCTTTGAGAATAATCTCCTTTTTTCGCATAGTTCAGTGATTATTTCTTATCGAGTGCCTTGTTCAGCGCTTTCGTTATGAACCTTGGAAGAATGAACGCAGCTCGGTGCACATCATGGTCGTAATACTTCATGTTCATTTGATCGAGCTCACTGTTACTAAACACTTTCTTTGGCTCTTTGAAATTCGTCTCCTGAAAAGTTGTATTATTTATATTTAGGAAATAATTACCATTTGTGTTAATATTGCAAATGTGAACGAATAATTTCAATACTAAAAATTGAAGAATTGAAGTTCTCTTTATTTTCTTGAAAAGTCAATTGTTGTAGTGTCGAATTTATTCTGGGAGATTGTTTGAGATTAAACAAAATTGAAGTGTAGATGATGAGAACAGTATAGTGAATGATAATTTTATTATCGATAGGGAAGAGAAATTTAGTAAAATGAGTTTTAATATTGTTTAATAAATATCGAATAGTATTTAATAAGAATACTCACTGTGCTTAATCCTCCGAGTACGAAACCAATTTGTCCTGTTGGATACGTTGGTACAGAAACCACACCGTAAGATGCAACTGGAAATAAAGCTTTACAATGTTGCAAAGTTTGTGTTACGTGGTCGAGGTTCGCCCAGGCTGTTCCTGCTTGGCTGCAAACGATTCCACCAGGCTTCAATGCACTCTTCATTAGATTAAAATATGATTCTTGAAACAAACACTCTGCTGGACCTGCGTTGGAAAATATTTCTCATTTTATTGTGTTTAATAGAGAAAAATATTGTCCTATAGTTAGCTGTATTATAAAATTTAATTAAATTGACAAATTGAATTGACTTAATTTAAAATTTAATTGTGTGATAATATTTTTTATCAGATCATATAAGAGATCATATGATGATAATTACAAAGCAAATACTGTAGTTTATTGTAATTTTAATATTTGTTAGAGTATCAGACTAAAATCTGATTCTTGGAACACTGGTGAATCTGCATTAAAGAATATCTCTCATTTTATTGTATTTAATATAGAAAAATATTGTCCTATATGTAGCTGTATTATAAAATTTAATTTACTTGATAAATTGAATGATTTAATTGAAAATTTAATCATGTAGTAATATTTCTCATCTTAATTTTACATTATCAATTTTGACAATAGTTTTATTGAATACTAGTGAGATCATACAATGATAATGACAAAGCAAATACTCCAGCTTATTGCAATTTCAATATTTATTACAGTATTAATGACTGGAAAATATCTAAGAATATAGTTAAATTTTAGAAACACTAAATTGCAATTATATATTGCTTCTCTAATTTACATTACATTAAATTAATATGAATAACTATAGCAGATGATAGACTTATTCTTACACTTTTTGTTATGTTTCCAATTCAATGATTATCTCGTTATCTTCAATTTTTAAACAAATTTTTAAATTGCTTACCGACAGGATCACTGCTGTCCGTGATTATAATGTCGAATTCTCCAGTATGCTGTTTCAAGAATTGGAAACCATCCCCCACGTTAAGGGTGACTTTAGGATGATCCAGCCCTACTCCCATGTAGGACAAATATTTTTTCGATACCTCCAATACTTTCGGGTCGATTTCAACTTGTACGATCTTTTCTACCTGCGGATGTTTCGCGACCTCACGAGCAACCCCGCCATCTCCACCCCCAACTATTAGGACCTGTTCAATATTTAGATCGAATAAGTAGAATTTTGGCTTACGAGTATTAGTAGCATTTTTAAATTGTTTATACGTTGTTAATATGCAAATTTTCTAAAAATTGTCGAGTATAGAGGAAGTTAATTTTCAATGAAAAAGTAGTTGCAATGTTGAGGACAGGGGAAGTTAATTTTTAGTGAAAAAAAGTAGTTGCAACGTTATGAGTAGAGGAAATTAATTTTCAATGGAAAAATAGTTGTAATGTTAAAAATAAGGGAAGTTAATTTTCAATGAAAAAACAGCTGCACTGTTGAGGGTAGAGGAAGTTAATTTTTACTGAAAAGTAGTTGAGGACAGAGGAAGTTAATTATTAGTGAAAAAGTAGTCACACTGAATAATTGCAAATGTATTTATTTTTCTTTTGAATGGGCAAAATGATGAGATAGTTAAATGACGAAAAAATGATCAGGTTGAGGAAAAGATGGGGGACAAAAAGTGTGTATACTTTATAGACTTTTAAAATAGATAAGCAAAGTTAAAAGTAGATTATTATTACTAAAATTCATGAGTATGCAGAAAATCGGATTTGTAAATGTTGAACAAAGCTATTCTATATAAACAAAATTTTAATCTATGCATTTTCTTAAATTATTGCATATTTGATGTTTAATAAATATCCAAAGTATATTCGCCACTTTATTATTTAAACGTATAAAAATATGTTTTACCTAAATTATTGCCTAAAAAATATTGTTACACATTTAAATAATAGAGCGACGAAGAAACATTACATACTTTTTTTAATTCTTTTGTTTCATTGCTCTTCAATGTTAATTCTTTGTTTCTTTGTTCTTTTGTTTCAACGAATCCATTAGCACCAAAGAAAAATCTTTTCCTTCTCCAGTAAACAAACTTAATATAAAAATAATCTCGCGGTAATTAGCGATTTTTAATAAACTCATGAATTCCAACGAAAAATAAAATTTCCTTAATTATAAGAAAAATGTCATTAAACACTTAAGCCTTACAGTTTTAGGATTTGGATGGCTGCATAGTGGTAGAAAAGCAATCATCTCCTGGTACGAAAATTCGTCATTCTCCGTGCATTGTATGATACCATCTAAAATTAAGGCTCTTCCATGTGATTTCCTGTATGTATGTAATTAAAACAAGTGTCCCTTGAAACGATGACAAATAACTTACTAGTTCAATTTCCATCTGTTTCTCTTTTTTTTTTTTTTTTTTTTAAGAATTTAACATACTTTTACTGTATTAACAAATTTACCTCTTTTCCCTTAAACAGGCAAAATAAGAAAAAAAAAAAAATTGAAAGGGCAAGTTAAAGGGCATTATGTTACTACACTAAACGTTTTCTGTCGAGAAAATACATATTTCGTAGAAAGAAAAGATTAGATATATTGTCGATTGCAAAACACCGCGATAAACTGCTAAAAAGGAATTTTGCAATAAATTGCGCCGATATAACTAAAAATAGTAATCATTAATACTTTTATAACTAACTGAAAAAAAAATACTTGTCTCGCAAATAGAACGCGATAATACAACGTTATAATTAACACTTTTGTATCGCTTAACTGGAATTGCAAATTAACAAACGCTATCTTGGTTTAATTCGTATTCACAGCTAACCGTACGCATTTTCTGAGCAGTTTTCGTTGTAATCGTTCTTAAAGTCCCTCTCGAAAATTTATTTTCGAAATTAGAACCGAATATCTATTTTTCAGTCTTAATAATAAATTTTTGATGCTCCATTTTTTGAATGAAAGTTTCTTCTGGTATTCGATTTTAGATATAACGCGTCTATTGACCAATTTTTATTGTTTATTATTAGCAATAATGCTTGTAAAATAAATTTCTCTAATTCTTCTAAGTAAATATGAAAAATTCTGGAAGAAGTTCTCAAATATAAAATGTCTATTGATGAATTTTTACTGTTCGTTATTAACAATAAACTTTGTAAAAGAAATTTCTCTAATTCTTCTAGCTAAACCATGAGAAATTCTGTAAGAAGTACTCCGATGTTTATTGATCAATTTTTAAATTACAAGTTTTATTGTTTATTGTTAAGAATAAACTTTGTAAAGAAATTTCTCCAATTCCTCTAACTGAAAATGAAAAATCCTGTAATGAATACTTCCACGAGAAATTTCAAAGCAGGAACTCATACATTCTCTAATTCTTCTAACTAAAATTAAAAAATTCTGTTCTGAACACTCGAAAAGAAATTTCAAAACTGAAACTAACAAAAAAATAATTCTAACAAAACCTGCAAAATTCTGTAGTAAATACTCCACGAAAAAAAAAAAACAGGAAAGCAGAAACAGGCACATTCTCCAATTCTCCTAATCTCAAATCGAAAATTCAAAATTCCCCTACCAATTCTAATTCGAAAAACACTCCAACAACCTCTAATTCTTCGAATCACCACGTCTCGCAATAACTCGTACGTGTAATGGTGAAAATTCGGTCTCTCCACCAATCTAACCCTTACAACTAGCATAACTGCGCACAAAATGTTCCACGATCTATCTTCCTATTTCACCAGACTCTACGATCCTCCGACACACGAACTAACTTTCTTCTCTCCGATTTCTCATTCCACAATTTTCGTCTCACCGCGATCCAGAATCGCGATCCATCGGTCACACGTAACGCAATGCAAGGGAATAGGAAAATATTGGAATATTTACGTGTCGAGCACCATCACATCTTGATACTGCGATCTTTCCCGATGAAGTATCTTGACCACTTCGAGAGACAACGAGACACCTGGCCACAGATCATTGATTTCACTGAACCAGCCAGGTTTTATCGCATCCATTTCTTCCGTTTCGCGTGTTCCTCTGCCGCCCGGTGTATGCCTCGTTTCGCGATTCAACTGGAAAGCAGACACTGTCGGTCAGTTAATCGTGGACAAGGGAAATAAAAGTGGTAACCTTTTTATGTGGCCAAACATGTTTTCCTACGACACTGACCGCCACTTCCACTCCCGCTGGAGCGAAGTTTAAAAGAAGAAATGGCGAAACTCGTTTGTCACTTGTGTGTATTCGTGGCTGGGTGTAGCATTGAGTCGCTTCGCTGCGGTTTCGTTCAGTTTTAATGTGTACGTCTTGTTTGTCTGATTGTGGAGGAAAAGTGTGCGGAGTTTTGTTTCATTGGTGGGTGAAATGTAGGAAATTTTTCGAAAGGCAGAGTTCCTTTTTGTGGATAGAGTTTGATCGGTGATGGGAAAGTTTCGTATGGAAATTTCAGATTGCAATTGTAATTGAAGCTTTTTAAATTTGTAATTAGTTTTCTTGATTATTAAGTAGGGAAGGAAGTGTGGAAAGTCAATTCTTGTAGGGGGGAATTTATTTTTGGAGATGTTTTTAGTGTTGGAAGTTCAGATTGCAATTATAATTGAAGTTTTTTCAAATTTGTAATTAGTTTTCTTCGTTTTCTTGATTCTCAATTAGGGAAGGAAGTTTGGAAAGTCAATTTTTGTAGTGTGCAATTTATTTTGGGAGATGTTTGTAGTGTTGAAAGTTCAGTGAAATTGAAAAGTTCAGATTGCAATTATAATTGATGTTTTTTTCAAATTTGTAATTAGTTTCCTTCGTTTTCTTGATTCTCAAATAAGGAAGGAAGTTTGAAAAGTCAATTCTAATTGAAGTTTTTTAAATTTCTAATCAGTTTTCTTCATTTTCTTGATTAATTCATTTTCTTAATTAGGAAAGGAAGTTTGGAAAGTCAGTTTTTGTAGTGTGCAATTTATTTTGGGAGATGTTTTTAGTATTGAAAGTTCAGATTGCAAGTATAATTGAAGTTTTTTAAATTTCTAATCAGTTTTCTTCATTTTCTTGATTAATTCATTTTCTTAATTAGGAAAGGAAGTTTGGAAAGTCAGTTTTTGTAGTGTGCAATTTATTGTGGGAGATGTTTTTAGTGTTGAAAGTTCAGATTGCAAGTATAATTGAAGTTTTTTAAATTTCTAATCAGTTTTCTTCATTTTCTTGATTAATTCATTTTCTTAATTAAGGAAGGAAGTTTGGAAAGTCAGTTTTTGTAGTGTGCAATTTATTTTGGGAGATGTTTTTAGTATTGAAAGTTCAGATTGCAAGTATAATTGAAGTTTTTTAAATTTCTAATCAGTTTTCTTCATTTTCTTGATTAATTCATTTTCTTAATTAGGAAAGGAAGTTTGGAAAGTCAGTTTTTGTAGTGTGCAATTTATTGTGGGAGATGTTTTTAGTGTTGAAAGTTCAGATTGCAAGTATAATTGAAGTTTTTTAAATTTGTAATCAGTTTTCTTCATTTTCTTGATTAATTCATTTTCTTAATTAGGAAAGGAAGTTTGGAAAGTCAGTTTTTGTAGTGTGCAATTTATTGTGGGAGATGTTTTTAGTGTTGAAAGTTCAGATTGCAAGTATAATTGAAGTTTTTTAAATTTGTAATCAGTTTTCTTCATTTTCTTGATTAATTCATTTTCTTAATTAGGAAAGGAAGTTTGGAAAGTATAGTAGAAAAAAAATTAATTAATTTTTCTATTTCAGTGAATTCTATTTTCTTTTCTCTCGAATGAAAGAAAAATACAATCTAGCTTGTGTTTTTACCTTAATTTTAAATAGTAAGGTGTTAGAGAAAGAAGTTGGAAAAGTCAATTCCTGTAGTGTTAAATTGATTTTGGGAGATTTCTCTTGTTTCTGAATTGGTAACAGGTGTTGCTGTGAGTTTCATTGAAGTATTTTCACCAGAGAGTGACACTGTAGGAAAATTAATTTTTCTAAAATTGATCTATCTTGTTTTTTATTTGAACCTGATTCTACATCTTAATTATTATAAAATCAGGGAAATAACGAATATAAATTATAAATATGAATAAGCAGTATAATTTCAAATATCGGTTCAAAAGCTATTTGCATTTCGTTTATAAACTTTTTTTAAGTTTATTAATGCGTGGAAATATGTAGAAAGTTAAAACACAGGCAAATTATTAATACCCCAAAAATTAAGGAGAAATACGATCCATTTCGTTCACATTTGAACCTGATTAAGTGTACGCATAGTGACAAATTTTCTATATCTTAATTATTATAAAATTAAGGAAATAATGAATACAAATTATAAATATTTTTCTCGAAATTTAAATATCGTTCTCACTGAAATCACCCACTCCTCTAAGAATATCACAATTTATTTTGTTTATGAATTTTCCTAAGTTGACTAAAATGTGAAATTATTTATAAAAAGTTAAGACACAGCCAAATTATCAATACCACAAAAATGTTAATATTCAAGAAACCTAACAATTTTACAATCAATGATACAAAATAATTTCCTTTTGTTTAAATTTAAATTAACGACACTTGGTTAAATTCCATTAATGTTCAATTTATACTAAAAAATTCACTGTCTGACAGTATCTCACATAAATTTAACTCTACTGTTAAGATCGTACTTATTATACAATTTTTTAACTTGTTTCATTCGTGACAATTATTACGTAGGTGCAAACGAAGCTGAAACTGGCATATCAAGTTCTCTGCAGTCATAAATTTTCAGAAAAGTTTCACAATCCACAAATAATTATAGGAAATTTACTAAAATTTAAAACTCGTGAAAAAAATTCACAACAAAATTGTCTGGACATTATTATCTGACGTGATGAGTAACTGAAATATTCGAAAAATGTGAAAATAATTGAAAAAACTGAAGAAGGTTATGTAAATGTTAGGATATTTCAATGTTTGCGTCCAAAATTCAAGATTCGTGACTTTTCATTGGAAAATGAGCCAAGACTAGATAATAACATTTTAAGAAAAATTATTAAAAACAATCCAGGGTGAAAAAAATTGGAAATTTTCCCAAATCCTCCCCTATTCACTCTTCCTTTCCCCAACAAACCACCGTTTCATCAAACGCCTGAACAATTTCCTACCAACTAAATAATCCCAAAACGGAAACCCTACAAAAATAGCACTGAAACAATTTTTCCATTCGAAGGCTACCAATTTTGATAAATTTTTGATAAATTTGAAAAATTTGAAAAAAGTCTATAGAACCACGTACAAATTACGTCCGTTAAATACATCATTTTCTGACAGAAGCAAAATTATGAAAAAGCTACCTTTCACAGACGCAAATTTCAATTGACGCTGTTTACGCAATCACATGATGTCCACGTGTAGCCAAGCGGACACTCAACCGAGAGTATCAATCGTAGAAACGTAACTGATAAACACACCTGCTTCCCAAATCTCATTACCCATAATAAATCTATTCTCCAACACGTGTTTATTAAACGCGTCCTTCAGATGTGTTAATTACGCGAGGTGTCGACGATAAGAGTAAGATTTATTTCACTACCGTTCCAAGTCTCGTTCGAAGCGTTTAGCTAAGCAGAACACGAAATTCGGAAATTTGCACGATTCGTGAAATGAATCGGCAGGAATAAATATCCTCTTTTACATTGGAAAAGAAAAGAAAGAAGAAGAAGTGGTCGTTTCACGCATGGAAATCACATTGCACCGCTCGACTTCGTTTGTCTTTGTTCTGAGGAACAATAAGGGAACAACGTGCATTGAAGATTTCAATGGAATGGTAAACTAACGTCACACAACAGAGCTTGCTGTTCACTGAAATTTTATTTACACAACAATTCTGTTCTCGAGCATTCGAAGAACTCTTTTTACATTCTCTGTATCTCGTGTTTCTGTTAGGTCGTCGGCCGTGAGTTCGCGTCGGAAGCGGACAATACTTAAACGAGAATCCGAGGAAATTCTTAGCGGAAGAAAGAAGAAGAATTTCTTTTCTTCCCAAATTTGAGAAAATATTTGCTCTGGATTAGGAAATTCGACATGAACTTACAGAACGAGTTAACAAATTCTGCATTTCTTTAATTAAATTTCGGCAATTCGAGGACCGATTTCAGGAAGATCGGGATCACTCGTGACGAAGAAACGCGGCGAGCAAAAATTTCACCCCATGTGAGACAATCTCCCGTAAAAATCCACCGTTGAAGCAGACAAAACAGTGACAATGAATCGTTCACATTTTGAAGCAAAGAGAAGAAGAAGAAGAAAAATAGTAAAAATCACCGATAAGTCGTTTGAAGAATGTGCGTTTTCCAACGATTAACGTCGATCAAACGAGAATTCTCACGTCGATCTTTCCGGGTAATTGGTAAAATCAGAGAGAAGGAAAGTTTGCACGCGTACCGTGTAAAGTGGCGACAAATCCAAACGGACGGACCTTCGAAACAGAAGCACGAGCAAGACTGGCAAGTAGAATGCCGATGACTTTACTTACTAAACGGATGTGGCCCTTATCGCCCTCGTTTCTCTGCTCCGTGATAATAACGGTTCAAGCACAGACAAGATACTGTGTGTGCGTTGCTGTGAGATCGGTTTTCATGTATACTCCATTCGGATGACGGTCGAGCCAATGGATCGAGCGACGAAAAAACGATAAACGATCGTGATAAAAGTGAAGATAAACGATTCTGCTTTGTCTTTGGTGGAACTGTCCGAGGGACGCGTGGTTCTCGAGGACACGTCCTGTGTCGCGAGAAAATTGGAAAATTCGAGGAGGATCTGTGATTTTTCTAAATTCTTCTGTTGGAGTTGCTTGAAGAGTTTTCTTGATTTTTGTCGATTTGAAAAAGGATTTTATTGTACATGTAATTGTTAGATTGCTGGTTTATTATTTGTCGAGGTGGTCGAGGTCTCGAATGACAATTGTAGGAACTTTAAATGTGGAAATTGTGTCTCTTGAGAAAACTGTGTATACAGGGACACGTTTCCAAACATAAATCAGCGGAAATTGAGATATAAGAAATGAATATAAATCTGGTCGATTTTGATGTAATAGAATTAATCTTGTAGACGAAATCATTTTTTAACAACAAATTATAATATATATATATTAAATTTAAGCAGAAATTAATTAAAATAAAGGTATTTTCTTAAATTGTTTATTAGATCAACTCTGTGGCAATTGAGCAAAGAATACTGCTAAACTGTGTAATTTAAGTCCTGATTTTTCACGCGAGAAGATTGTAAAATTCGAGGGAAGTTTGAGAGGAAGAATTGAAAATTTAGGGAAATTAGAATAATTCGAAATTTTTCACACTTTGATTTCCTGTGTGTAGTTACTTAAAGGACTCTATGGCTTTGTCTTTTTGGAGCAACAGGAAAACGTTGCTCAACGCACCCTGTGTTCCGAAAGAATTCAGAAATTCCGCAGAAGTTTGAAAGGAAATATTGAAAATTTTGGGTAATTGAGACAATTGTAAATTCTTGACACTGTAGTTATTACACTTTGAGAAAATACTTTTTAGACTTGTTGAATTCCTAGAATTTTTTTAAGCGACTTGAACATTTTTCATACTTTTACTGCGGAATTCTGTTCTTTAAATTTTGCTGTATTAGTTATCTAATCCAAATTTTGGAATTAGCAATACGAGTAAGTTTATTTAAGTTGGGAACCAAGTTATTTCAAATCGGACGATTAAATACAAGAATACGAGTAGAAGATAATATAATAACGAAAGTAATTACGAAAAATAATGAAAAAGTGTGTACTTTGTGTGAAGCATCTTGTAAAGTACGAGTATCTTCGTTCTTACAATGAAGATTTCACCTTTGGGGGGATGGCCAACAGAGCAGGAGACGTATTAATGCCGTGTTAGGTGTTGGAACTGGGGAATATGGTAGAAAGAGGCGTTAAAAAAATTTTGATCAGTGAGAGTTTATGTCAATTATTAACGCTTTCTTTTTTATTCGTTTTAAAAAGATTTTTTGAATTAAGCTGCTTATCACTATATCACGTATACTTATTTCATTATTTCTTCTTTTTCGCGATATAATTCCAGCATTATTTTGAACAGTAAATTTGAAATAAGTGAAGAAACAATAAATTTTGCCAACTTTATGAAAATTAGCAATAAAGTTCAATAGATTCACAATAAAACTAACAGTAAACTTTATTACTGCTACATTATGTCTTCTTTTTCAATATGTAATTCGAGCATTCTTTTGGACAATAAATTTTGAATAAGCGAAGAATAAAATTAACAATGAATTTTGATATTTTAACAAGTACCATTTGTACCGGTAAATTTTGAAGCATTCATTTTTTCGTTCAGTTCAAGTCTGTTGTAGTCCTCGTGGGAAAGCTGCACTTTAAATGCAAAAGTAGATTTACATTTTTTTTTTTTACTTCTTTCTACACTTTCATGAGTGATTTTCTTCCTTTTTTCGATTAAGCGCCCATTAAGCGCCCATTTATTTATTTACATAAAAATTTTGTTCAAATTAAACAAGGTCAAATTAAGCCATAATGTTTAAAATTAAATAACTTCAGTATAAACTCAACTTCGAAATTTAAAAAGTTTCCCTTACTTTGTTTTTTCTTCTTCTACAACTCAAGGATACCGACATAAAACATATTTTTATTCGACGAATATAATTAAATTTTCGAAATGCATTTATCTCTTCGTTCTTGAAGAGAAATAATAAATATTCGTGATATTCATGAGTAATACCAATCAAATTTTCTCTCTTTAATTTATAATCGCATTTGAACTTAGACTTCTTCCTTCTTGCTGATCCTAAGTCAATAAAGTCGTATTCAGCAGATAATGATTATCTGCCATCTCTGCAATTACTTTCTCTTTTGCAGTCTAAATTTGTGTAAAATTAGTTTATACTTGATAACCTAAATCACTACTCCTCCATCCTTCGTTAAATAGAGAGATAACCCCTTTCGAAATTTTCACGTTAGCAGATATTTAATCTGCTGTACAATTAGCCGAGATTTTAAGTCTACAATTTCGTCCATAAGTATCAGAACACTTGCTACATTTGTGCAAAATTGCATAGGGAAGAATTTATTGTTAATTTTACTGCACCTTGAAGAATTATTGTTAAGAGAAGAAAATCAAAATAAAAGTCTGGAGAGGGTATTCAGTGAGGAAATGAGCCACTCAGAAGCCAAAGTGACTAACTTTGTCTTGTAAAATTTATTAATACTGTAATGATTATAAATTTGTGAAATTTGTATAGATTTGTATAAATTTATTAAATTTGTTTAATATTACAATAGTTGCAAATGTGTTTTATTCATGAAAAATAGAACACCAAGCATGTGCTTTGATACTAAAATTGGAAGAATATCAAAATGGTGGAGTTAATTGTTTTAGCTTCTGAGTGACAATATGGAACTATAACGATGCTAAGTGTTAATATGAATTGCTATTTAATAAAAATTTCAAACAGTACTTAACCATTTTTAGAGGGACAATACTTCACCATAGTATGTTTTTCGACAGAAAACTAAATAAATATTTTATTCTTTTTTTGTTTGTGCACAGAAATTATTTACAATAAATGAAACGAATCTGATTGCTCCAGCAAAAACATTTAAAGATTCGAAGAGTTTGTTCATAATCGGAATAATAGATTTTAATTTAAATTCAAATTAAACCCTTTCGTTACTACATACGATTACAGTCGCCCAACGTACAACGCTGATATCCAATGAAAATTTTGCGAACAATTTAATGACATATACTTATTTACGATTACAATAAGAAAATTATTTTATTTACGTTTATTCAGGGTGGTCCTTTTAAGTTAGGTCACCTAAATATGTGTCTTGGAATTGTAACGATGCAAAAAATATTTTTCACGCGATGTTTATTCCGATGAAAAGGAAGCTTACAATTAGTTACATTATATGTACATGTACATGGTGAAATTTCTAGTGTAATATTAAATATCGGTGATCGATTTGGCAGAAATATTGAATCAGACAGAAATATTGGAAAAGTTAGTTCATAATCGAAATAAAAGATTTCAATTCGCATTTTAATCGAAGGCAAATTAATTGAAATAACGTGAAATGAAAGTTATCGCGTGTTCTTTTTTGAACTTGTTCTGAGATACGAAGCATAAACAAGATGCAGTTGTTAAATGTAACGAAGTTCATGAAATAGAAACTGATAAGACGTGTACACGTGTAAGATTAGGATTTGACATTGACGAATGCTGTGTATTTTTAGTAAAGATTAAAATAATTAATCACAGATCCTGTGCAGCATCTTAAAATCATATTAATGGTAATGCAATATTGTAGAAATTGTTTCTGTACTGTTATAAATGTAACGTTCATTCATTCACTGAACCTGATAAGACGTGTACACGTGTAAGATTAGGATTTGACATTGACGAATGCTGTGTATTTTTAGTCAAGATTAAAATAATTAATCACAGATCCTGTGCAGCATCTGATTTATTATACAATAAAGCACTAATTCACTATTCACTATTTTAGGTTTACATTTTCCCCTAGGTATCAAAATTAACATAATGTATGTACTCTTTTACACAATATTTTCATCCACGTGTAAAAGTCTTAGGCAAATAAACCGAAACAATTATTTTAAATTGTTTTAGCGAATGTAAAGAGAACTATACGCACTGTGGGAATGATAGATTATAATTTAGCTTTAGGCTAGTGTTTAAACCGGAAAGATAGACGCGCGAATAAAGAGTGTTTGGGACGAGAACGTGACTGTATTGGGTGGACGAAAAATGTGTGACGTAACCAAACGCGTTTTGAAAATGCCCGCGTAAAATAAAAGAACTTGAGAAATAAAGAAAGGGAGAATGAGCGGGTGAAAGAATAAAATGATGAATGATACTAGCGGGGGATAGTCATAGAGAAATAGTCAGAGAGAACAGTCATAGAGAAATAAATAGTCACAGGGAAGAGTCATAGAGAAATATTCATAGAGCAAGAGTTGTATAAAGAGTATCGAGAGTTAAAAGTAAAAGTATTAGCGTAATACAGAGAGAGTAGAGATATTGTAATTGTTATTATCGAGTCTTAAATCTTAAATATAATATATTTGTGTTATTGTAAACTTTTTTGAATACCTGTCTCCAACCCAACATTCTTAGAGTACGTTATAATAATTTTGTATACTTAAAGTAGTAACAATATTATATGCAAATAAATGTATAGAAAGAGATGCTCTTAAATTTTCACATAGATCAACGTTTTATGCAATATAATTTCGAAAAATGATCGACATAACGTATTCATAATTTAAATTTGCCGCTACGAACGTGCCTTAATGCAGCGCCACGAGCAAGTCAGTGTGTTTTGCGTCAACGCCGTCTCAATATGTTCGCCATGGTGCTTTTCTAACCTTACGTTGAATTTTAATAGAAAGAGCTGTGCAAAATTTAAATTATCAATTAAAATATATTCATACTACACACCCAAATGTTAGATTTACATTTTCAATTAATTGTCATTGCAAAATATAAAGTAAAACATGGCGATGCTCGCAGAACAACGTTCAAAACGCAAGTGGACACTAAATCCTCGAGGAAAATACTGGAGCGAAGGTTTATAAATGTTTACATATATTCCATATTCGAATAATGTTGTGCTCTGTATTCATGATACTTTATTCACACCTACATATTTTTGGTAGACTCAAACAAATATGGACAAAAGATGCTGGAAAAGATGGGTTGGACGAGCGGTAGTGGACTCGGAAAACATGAACAGGGTACGACAAAACACGTGCATCTACAGGTTAAAAATGATACAGCAGGTAAGTATAATACATATAGTAAATATAAACAGTTATATGTATTTATAAGTTGAATTTGATTTATTGTAAGTTTGTTTCCAATGGTTTTGAAATTCATTCTAGTTGTTGAAACTAACCTAGGAATGAAACTATTTTTTCATAAAATAGATATTACTAGAATAAAATTGTAAAGTTGTGAAATAAAAAAATATCCCTGATCCTTTTAGCATTACTTTTTTGTGGAAAGTTTATATAGTTTTTTTTTATTAATATTCCTACTGCATTGAGAATGAACAGTTTTCTAATTTTAAATTGTTTAGAAGGCTACTGATTATAATTTTTAATATTTTTGATAATTTTACGTTTTATTAATTGATTTAATTAATAATTACAATAATTATAGGTCTTGGATATAATATAAGTCATTTAGATAAAGCATGGACAGAGCATCAAGATAGTTTTAATGACTTTTTACAAAAACTACAAGTAGATCAAGATAATGTTGTGCAAACTGAAAGAAGTAAAAGTGATTTAAGTGGAAAATCATTGGAGTTGAAATCTAAGCAGAGCCGTACTCGTGTTCAGTAAGGATATGCAGCATATTAAGATATAGCTACATATATGTAAATATATTATTCCTTTTCTTCTAATTTTTATTGCTGTTACTAGTTACCAGAAATTCACAAGAGGTAAGGATATAAACAAATATAGTTCAAAAGATTTGGCAAACATATTTGGTCAGAAAGAATTAAATATAAATAATACTGATCAAGATAAACAAAATAACTATGAGGATAATACTGATCCAATTGGTACTCAAGATAATAGAGGTGGGATTATTGCTATAAATGGTGGGAACATGGCAGAATATTTTATGAAGAAAAAGCAGGGTCTTTCTTTGACATATGGAAATGAAAAACACCAAGACAATAATTTAGAAACTGAATCTGAATATGTTGGATTTGGATTTACATCAACATCTACCAAAGTACAACCTCATAATAATGAAGAGCACAAAGAATCCCAAAATATATGCAATTATGCTTTTGAGAATCCTTGTCTACAAATAAATAGTCCTGAAAACAGTTTGAATTCTAATAGTAAGTCTAAATCTTGTAAAAGGAGAAAATCTGTTGATAATGAATTTAACTTAAACAATAAAGCTAAAAAATTTAAAGATATGAATGACAGTGAGTACAAGAATGGTGTTGTGAATGATGGTTTGAATTTAGATTGTCAAACTAATGAAACCTGTAATGGAAAAGAGTTTGAAGTATCTAGAATACAATTTGGTCTTACAAATTCTGCTCTAGATTTAAGTGATGAGGCAGATGATAAGAAAAGAGTAAGATTCAATGATCATGTAGAATATAGTACTGATTCTGTGAAGAAGAAGAAGAATAAAAATAAATTAGACAAATTTGAAGTTGAAAATAAGAAAGCTAAAAAGAAAAAAATATATGATGATAGTGTTGATAGTGCAGTATCATCTGGTTGTGTTAATGAAGCCTTAGATGTTGAAGAAACGTCTGAAGAAGTACATGACAACGAAATCAATGAAAGTAAGAGTAAAAAGTCAAAAAAAAGAAAAGGGAGCCGTCGATCGAATTTAGAAACTATAGTGGAAATACCAGAAGAAGATAAAGAAGCTTATGAAGAGAGAACAAAGAATAAGCGACCTAAGATAATAGATAATATAGTTGATAATTGTGAACCTCAAGAAAATATTTTAAACAAAAAGAAAAAGAAGAAAAAGCATAAAGAAAAACAAGAAATCGTTATTGATGATAAAAATGATGCACAAGAAACTGCAATAGGAGAAACTATTTCAGAAATAAATACAACACTTGAGCAGGAGGAGTGTGAAGAGGATATTTCTAAAAAGAAAAAGAAAAAGAAGAAAAATAAAGATAATGAGCAAAATATAGAAAAAGGTGAAGATATTTCTCAAATAATGACGGACGTTAGTAATGTAGAAAACTTAGAAGACGAAAGGACAAACAACTGTGAAACAGAAGGAGAAACAAAACCTGTGAAAGTGAAAAAAAAGAAAAAAGCTAAAAAAGACAGCGATGTAAATGATTTTGCCACTGAAATAGTGAATGTGAAGGATGCAGAAGATGTTTTTAATAAAGAGAATGCAAGCAATTTACATGAAAATGAAATAAACGAACCAAATAGAAAGAAACATGAAAGATCAGTAGATGAATCTGTAAGTAATGATTCCATACATAATGCGGAAATTATGGAAAAACCTGTGAAGCAAAGAAATGTATATCGAAAGACACCTTCAAACAGCAACCGTAGAAAGTTTCATACTTCATCCAATCACTGGAATGGAAGACCCAAAATGTCAAAAAAATTGATATCCTTTTTTCATAGAAATTCCGTCATAAATTTTCCGGGCTCCAATTTAAAGGAAATAAAGGGATATGGCGCTAATGTACAGTGAAGTATAAAAAGTTGGATGTATTTTTATTATATTTTCTGTATAATATAAGTAATACTTCAATTATGTACAACTGATCTACAACAATATTTATTATTAAAAAGTAACATTTTGTAAATGTACAGAATTTTGTTCCTTTATTTTTTCTGAAATGAAAAAATGCCTTTGTACACTTTAGTGATAATCAAATTTATTTACATTCTTTCATTGCTATAATTCTGGACATGTACTTTCAAAGGAAAATTTAAAAATGTATGGGTAATGTTATTATTCCACATTAACTTGAAGTCCTAGTTCAAGGTGGTGCGATGTTGTCCTCAATTTTTATAACTCCGTTTATACAAGATTGAAGTTTGTGTTTAAATTTGTTAATATTTTCTAATTCTTCCTCACTGACTTCAATTACAGTAATAGGTACACATTTATTATCTATTGAAAGTATAGTGTAACCCAAATTTGTTAGTTGCGTTGCAGCCTTCTCAGGGAAAAGGAATTCAGATTTAAACTGCAACAAATGAAAATTAAAATGAAGTATACAAAAATATAAAGAAATAAGTAAAAAAAAAATTTTAATACCATGAAACATGTCTTATCGTCATGTTTTACTTCTTCTACATCTTGTGCATTAATTTCTATTGCATTTTCCATTGCTTGATCCAAGTTACAGTCTCTAGAAGCTGTGACATAACTGGCACAGTCAAACATGGATAACACTGATACGTCTGCAGTTTTAGCTCTGTATACATAATTTAACATAATTAACTTTCGAGTAGATTTATGTTAAAGAAGTAATATTTAGTCAAAGTATGACTTACCTAGCTTTTTTCACTAGGTTGTTCAGAAGAGGTTTTGCTTCAGCTAGACTGTTAGATGCAATATATATGATAAGTGTAATTCCTGTAGAAGTACGAATAGTCACTATCTCAGTTTGACTATTAAAATCATTGCTTTGTACATTTTGTATTCTATCTAGAATTGCTTTTAAAGTAGTTGCTGGCATGTTGATCTTCTTAGCTTGAGTAATTAAACCTGCTAATTTTGAATTGGTATCTGGATCTGCATTACCAGATTCTTTAACAAACAAATTTTAATATTCACCATGTAACATGTTCCATATTTATAATAAATCTCATCTAACTTAAACAGTAAGTAAATTTCCATTAAAAGAATCTGCACATATTTCTGTATATACAGCAATAAATGCCTTTTGTGCTATTGCTTTCTATCATATATGAAAATACATACCTACTACTACCTTCTTTATTTTAGAAGCTAAGCTATTAAAAATAATTGACTTTGCGGTATCCTGGGATTGTTTAGTAGCTTTAATATTTTGCCACTTGCTATGACCTGCATATCTTCTGGTTTCTTGAATAAAGAAATTTTTACATTCATTGAAAAGTAAAATATTCAATCGGTAACTCATCTTAGAGAACTATAGAGGTTATGATATTCAGATGAATATATCTAGCAGGGAAATTGAAAATTTAGTATTGGTACCAACCAATTTAATCAAAAGTTTAAAATAATATTATATTTATATAA